GGGTCATCTCCCGTTCAGCTGCTAGGAAGGCCCGGTGATAGTATGTACCGGCCTGTGGAAAAAGAAACAGCAGTAAGAACAAGTCCAAAAAAAAAAAAAAAAAAAAAAAGTTATGAGAAGGAAGAACCGAACAGTCAAAGGCATACCTTAAGGGACTCAGCGTGGCCTGCTTCGACCAAATCAGACCAATGGGTCAGGTTGGTGAAGCCTTCTCCAGCCTTCAAAGAAGTGCTGCACCACATGGAGGATGCAGTCTGCCCGAACAGCGTCCGGCATTCGGCTCGGGGGCCCATGGCGGAAAACTCCACCGTCAACCGATCGGGGATCGGGAGACTATCTGAAGCAACACCGCCCCCGTTGCCCAGCTTCTTTGGAGGAGAGGGGACTGCAGGCATCCTTTCCACAGAAGGGTCCGTCAGATCAATGACATGATCGACCGGGACCAAGGCTCTGCTCTCAATCCTTGGCCGCTTGCTAACGGGCCCAGATTCCCGGCCAGCGGAAGAACCTGGCTGAATAGCCTTCTCCCTTCCCTTGCTGACTATAGCGGTGGAGGAAGGAGTAGGAGCAGGACGCTTTATGGAAACGGGGGGAATCACACCTACAGGAAAGAACGAAGGGAAATGAACAAGGGATTGAAAAATACACCGAACGAACAAAGTGAGGGAAGAAACATACCAATGCCAGCAGCTAGCATCTTAGCAGGAGTCAAGAAGGACCGTAGGTTCTTGGAACCGGCCAGACGGAGCCTTTCATACTGACAGACAATAGCTGCATCCACCCTTGGGGAGGCATCCTGAACAGGATAGGTGTTCCACCGATCAGGGAAAGGAAGCGGCGACCCCACGTATACGAACACAAATCTTTCCTCCCATTTTTCCGGAGGTGTGGGGTTGTCGGTGAAGAGCGAACGGCCAGGACGGGCCACAAGCCGCAAGTACCCGGTGGTCCAGTAGGGCTGAACGCCGTAGCAATGCAAAAAGAGATCGGCGCTAGGAGCAATCCCCAACTCATGGCACCAGACAATAAAGCCGTTCAAGATCCTGTAGGTGCTGGGCACGAACTGTGCCGGCAGTACTGATACCCGGCGGAGGAACTCCACAATGAACGGGTGCAAAGGGAACCTCAAACCAGCAACCAAGGCATCCATGTGCACAACCACACATCCCGGACGGTGTCGCATGGGATGTTTGATGAACCCCGCATTGAACTGACGGGGTGGAGGTAGTAATTGGCGGAGCGTCTGTTCTGCATCAGCAGGAAGGCGTTGACGTTGCTTCCTGATGCAATGGAAGTTCAGACTATAACGGGGGGGGCCGTTCAGGCATGCCCTTATTGTAGATGGCTAGGTCATCTCCCGACTGACATCCATCATCAGGGAGGGGCTGTTCGGGATGAAGTGAGGCAGAAGACCCGTTAGAACCCGACGATCGGGTAGATGTGCCTTGATCTTTGGGGTGAGCTTTTCCCCTGGAAAGGCGAATCAAAGTGGGTGCCATATCTTCGGAGTCTGACGAACCAGAAAAGGCAGACATTAATTGTGAATAACGGAGAAAATTCTAGAGAGAGAAAGCTTGAAAGAATTCAGAAGCAGCAGAAAAAACTGAAACAAAGTAGCTACATCCTTATATAAGGAAATACAACCGCCAGGAATTCGAATGAATAATAGACACGTGTCAAGGCGGCTGAGAGAAGTTAAAGCATCCTTTGGGGTGGGTGAACACCCGAACGGGGTTGAAATCAGCAAAGTTCACGAACCTCTTAAGACGTTTCCCCGGACGGGATAAGAGAAAAGGGCTAGAAGCGTTTCCCCGAACAGGAAGTAAATTTATCACGGTGATAAAATGATGGGCGTACCCGAACAGTATGGTTATCTAACATGGAAGAATATGACGGATGCAACAAGGAGAGCAAAAATACATACCGAATACCGGACACAATTCCCAGCTAGAATGAAAGCTTACGAATGAATGAAAAGGGCACAAGGGTCTTATATTGAGATCATAAGTATAGACTGAACGGGTTCATTATACGCAACATGTGTTAACAAGATTATCAAGTCTTGAATTCTGGATTTAACAAGGAATTCACCCGAACAGGTGACCTGATCGCTTCAGATTACGGAGATCAACAAAGCAACATGAAACGTATTGCAAAGGCGAATTGATAGGTGAAAAACAAATATGAAGTACAGTAAAAGTCACAAAGACGAGATGAGCAGGCAAAAATTGTATATTCATCGGCTCTACTGGCCGGAAAGTACAAAAACTACTGATTCAAAGGAAAGGAAATACAGATAATGTCTAATCTACTGTTCGGGGTGATCTTCTTCGTCTTCATCATCGTCTTCATCAGCCTCATCAACAATTTGCACCACCTCCATCCCCAGGGCTCGCCGGCACTTTTTCATCTGTGCCATTAGGGCGTTCAGGTGACCCGGATGGAGGTCAGAAGGGAAGTCGGAAGATTGCACTGCTCGGCCCATGTGTTTTTCCAGGAGGGGAAGGAGGGGCTGGAGCATATCTTGGCAGCCTGAGCTGTAGACCCCTCGGGCGAGATTGTCAGCCCACTCCTTGGTGATAGGGTGCTGATCAAGCACCCTGATCCCCTCCTTCTGGCGCTCCTCTCCGGCCAGTTTCTCCAGATGCCTTCCGAAAACAGCAGGGAGCTGTTCGGTGGCATATTCTTCCTTGAGAGCCAGAAACTCCTCGGAAGCTTTGAATGAATCCCGAACGGCAGAAAGATCGACTATCATTTCAGCAGGGCCATCCGGGATTTGGGGAGAGGCTTCAGAAAACTTGACCTGAGCGGCCTCAGCTGCCGCGATCTTGGCTTGGAGAGAACCCACCTTGACACGAAGCTCCCCAGCCTCAGCTTCCAGCTTCCTCCGCTCCTCGGCAAAAGCCAGCCGTTCGGCCTCGGCTGCCTGCTCGGCCGTTTCCTTGGCCATCAGCAAGCCTTGCTCCTTGGCCTGCCTGGCCTCTCTGAGTTTCAGGCTGTATATTCCCGCCTAATGATCAGAAAGTAAAATATAAGCACATGATAAGTTATCAAGCAAAGAAAAGGAAAGAGTGAATTATGAGCATAAGATAATGAGCTACCTTCAGGACAGTCAGAGCAATACACTCCTCGGCCTCCTCCACCGGTATCGGGGGAAGATTGTGGCCATTGAGAAATCCTGACGTGGACCAGATCTGGCTCGCCGGACAGCCACCCCGCTCCAACATCTCATGAGCAGGATCGTAGAGGGAGATCCGCTCGAACTGACTAGCCAAGTCAGCCTGATGGGCAGCCACCTCCTCAGCAGAAAAATGGTGGGACTGCTGGTCAGAAAAAAGCTGATCCATCAGCGTGTCAGCATGAGTTTGCTGATCAGGAGCAACCTGCTGCACAGGTTCTACATCCCGAACAGGTTCAGGCTGCTCGGGGAGGAGGGGGGCGGGTTGGGAGGATGTCCCCTGATCGGCCTTCCTCAACCTCTTTCTCTTTGTCTTCCTCTGCTGCTTAGGAGGAGAGGTTGGTGGCTCGTCATCAAATCCAACAGTGAAAAGCCTGCTGTCATCCATGGCCGGTTGTTCGGGATTGGCTCCTTCGGAGTCTGAAGATTCGCCTTGCTTTAGAGCTGAAAAGATAACAAAGGAACAAATTAGTACCGAGCGGTTCACACGTGGATTTAAAGTACTATCACACGGGAAGGACCGCCCGGGCCATGGTACTTGGTTTTCAGTCAAGTAAGTCCAGGAATACGGGCAGTACCTATCCCGGCCTTAATTAGCCGATCGGGAGTCAGGTAAGACATAATTTTGAAGCAGCCTCCCGCCTCCACAGCAATGACATCTCTGCTAAGCTCTTCGGAGATGAATGGCTCGGGGGATTTAGGAGGGAATGCGTTCCACTTCCTAGGAATCAAACCATTCGGGACAGAGACGAAGAAGAACCTATCTTTCCAACCTTTGATGGAAGAAGGGGCATCGCAGAACAAAATATGTCCTGGTCGGGAGCTTACCACCAGAAAACCGTGGGACTGCTGGGGGATAACCGAAAAGAAGTAGTGGAAAAGATCTAGAGTGGGTATGACCTTGACATTGTGACAACGACAAATGAAACCAGCTATCGACCGGTAGGAGTTCGGCATTATCTGAGCTGGTACTACATTGTAAAAATTTAAGAAAGAGACAAAAAATGGGTGGAGTGGAAACCTAAGACCGGCCTTAATTGAATCAAAGTGGACCACTACCATCCCAGGGAAATGACGCATTGGGTGAAGCCCGGCCTGGAGTCGGAAATCCACCGAGTCCGGGATCATCATCTGGATTTGGGCCCTATTTTGGGCCGTAAGCTTTTGACGCATCAGCCTAATTAGGGCTAGGTCAAGCTTATGGCAAGAAACGCCGCTAGGGGGACTGGCTTCCATGGCCTCCATTTCGCCCCCGGATTTGGTACCATCAGGATAAGTTCCGGATGAAGAGGCATCGTCGTGGGGGACCTCCGCCGGGATAGGAGTGACCTCCAGTGCCAGGCTGGGAGTATTCTTAGGGAGATCAACGTTCGAGGTAGAACACTCGGAAGGATGAAGACGGGCTGCCATACCGATCGAACAAGGAGGATAGAAGAAAGACAAGGCCAGAAAGTACCTGAGCGAGAACTAAGGAATAGCTCTAGAGAGAAGGATGAATGATAAGCCGAAGATGCAAAGTTTCGAAACCCAGAATCAAAACCAGAAGAGCCTATTTATACTCTGTCACGCCGATTCAGCTGCCAATCAGAAGAGGACACGTTTTTTGTAATGATGACAGAGACACGTGTCGCACAGAGAATCCTTCTCAAGTAATCATGACGTTTATCGGAGAAGTGAAACGGCAGTTGCAAATAACCGTCAAAACATACCTCAGGAACTGGCGGAATGCCATCCGATACTCACCCGAACAGCATTCGGGCAATAATCTTCTACTTCCTTATGCGCTCACTACCGTTCGAGACATAGGAAGTGGGGGACTAGTGTTGGGATATTGGGTCCAGGCCCAATATCCCTAGGCCCAAATCCGGGAAAAAGCAACAAGCCCAAAGAACTCCCGAACGGCATTCGGGATAAAACTTATACTTGGAACATTCTGGGTAACGATTATGCCAAGGTATCAAGACCCAAATATCGATCGGCGTTCGGGATACTTCAGGTAGAAATTATCACCTATGGCAGGGTCCCACACACCGAACACCTTGCCCGAACGGGCAGTCAGCAAGTGGAGGCCGCATTTAATGCTGGATCATGACAGCTGCAAGTGGGGGCATGGGTGCTTACATGGCAGAGGTGATAGCCTACCCGATTCGACCACGTGTCCACCTTACCCATCCCCATCTTAGTATAAATATCCATGTTTAGATCGTTGTAAAGGGTTAGCATTTTAATACTCAGAGCTTAGCAATAGATTTACATCTCCCATCCTTGTAATCTCATATTCATCTACCGTTCGGGTAGTTTCAGTGTAATTGCTTAATTACAGAATATAAGTAAGTTCTTGAGTTGGATATTATTTCACTATTTTATATTTTACACACATTTCAACCCTACCCAATATCCCTACAATATCCAAGGCTTGTGTTGGGCTTTCGGATCTTCGGGAATAAACCTCAACAGGGACTATTTTAAAAAATGATCTCAATACCTCAATTGATGGAAAGCCTGTAGGACCAGAGTTAGTACCACACATAAATAAGGCATCAATAATATTTAAATGTGACAAAATAGAATTACCAACAGTATCAGTGTGCAAGGGTCTAGAGGCTGCCGTGCCCCCTAAAACTGGCCGAACCCAGATTTATGTGTCGGGTGATACATACTAGTGTTGCCCATGAGGCTGAAAGCGACACTGTAGCTGTGGCGCACGCATGATGAAGATTGGTTGTGTCTAGCTGTCTCGAAAACAATACTCTCTGCTCCTGTTCTAAGAGTCTCGGATGGAGAATATGTAGAGGGAAATTTTGGGGACACAGAGCTATGGTGGAAACAATAGACATATATTCTAACCCCAAATCTAACAAGGTGTATTGAAGCAATTCTAATTCACACACATGAGAATTAATTGTAGCAAGGGCATCAACCATAATTTTAATGTCCGGCAAATAATGCTCCATAGATTAAGGTCCATAGAACGAGCTAAACTAGCTAGCAGACATAAAACAGGTTTGCAATCTTTCCTAGGTACTCAAAGATTGTTTTACATCATGTACATCAATTAGGACATTACAATAAAGATGTGCAAACAATCAGGAATGAATTGTTTGATCCACCCTTAACCAGTGATAATATTCAGTATTAGAGACTTGGTGATTATTAAAACCAATGATGTACATGGAAGGTACCTAGATGGAGCCACCAATCATGCCAAAAAGACCCTGGGACATTAAGAAAGGAGCAAAGGGTCAGTTTGGTTCTCGAAGTTACAAAAAAGGGGTCAAATAAGTCCTTATATAGAAGATTTTGTGTGGACGTGCCATTTGAGGTGGCTCCCGGTGGAATTTTTTGATAATTTTTTTTGAGCATATTATTCATTAAGTCTAGTTCACTCATACCAAATGTTAGCTAAAAATTCAATCCGGAAGACATTCAAATGAATTCTTGAAGATAACTGCGCTTTTAACGGCACAGTTATCTTCAAGAATTCATTTGAATGTCTTCCCGATTGAATATTTATCTGAAATTTGGTATGAGTGAACTAGACTTAATGAATAATATGCTAAAAAAATCATCAAAAAATTCCACCGGGAGCCACCTCAAATGGCACGTCCGGACAGAATCTTCTATATAAGGACTTATTTTACCTCTTTTTTGCAACTTCGAGGACCAAACTGACCCTTATCCCATTAAGAAAGAGGAGCATGGTAATCATCAATCACTTTCAGTTTGGGGGGGCATGACTCCACGGGATCCAAAAAATGTGGACCCAAAGAAAGAGGAGCATGGAAGCATCTGTTGCGGAGCGGGGATCACAGAGGATTGGAGAAGGTGCTGCTCATGGGAAATGGAGGGAGCGTTGATGTCGAGAATGCCGGAGAAGAAGGTTAGGGGTGCAGCGGCGAAGTAACGGAAGCATGCAACTGAGAAGACGAGGCAACGACGGAGCTTGTATGGTCCATCATCGTCGCAAACGAGGTGAAAGCAGACTGAGAAAAGGACGTCGAGCCTGAGTTGGAAACCATGGCGGCGGCCGAGGCAGCGGTAGTAGTCGCGCCAGAGGCGGCAGCCAACAAAGGATTCATGGCTGGGGCAGGTTAGTTTAGAGAGGGAATTAAAGGGAAAAATTGGGTATTCTCACGTGCTCTTGATACCATGTGTGATAATGGAAAAAATTCATTCAATAGAAGCTCTGATAAATATATTTATAATAAAAGAAGAGTTGGATAAATACAAAATATTTCTAAATAGATACAGAGTATTAGGCATATTCCTAAATAGATATTAAGCATATAACATATTACGGAGTATTAGCTAGTGGTTGTGTCTCAGGGGCGGATCCAAGAATTTGAGATGCTCTAGGTGGAATAGAAATTATACTAGTTTTAAATATTAGAGTGGTGGACTAAACGTGAAAAATGAAAAAAAAATTACATTAAATAAATTGAAAATTTTCTAAGTTGTCTTGAGCTTCAGCCTACCATAGTCATGATCCTCCCCTACTGTGTCTTCACAATTTAGCCCTTTCTCTTCAATTGGTCACTGACTCATTTTTGTCCTTCAATAGCCAAGTCTATTCACTTTTTCCCATGTACCCAACATTGGACCGGGGGCCTTTAATTTTTTCTAACGAAATGTAAGAGTTTAGTAGGTTTTTATTGGGGCAGTTACCCCCTACTTCCTTAGTGTCCGCCTTGTAGAGTTATATCTACTTTAGTACTGCAGAATATTCTTAATTGAAATTGAAATTTACCTAAATTGCTATTAAGTCCAACTATTAAAATTAATATTATCATATTTTGCCATGAAGATCTTACCTAATAACTACTTTTATTAAATGCTAATAAGTATTATGCTGAACTATTAATTATATAGCAAATTATATAGCACTCAAATTAAACATATATTTTAGTACTAATAAAGTAGAGTATTCTCAATTGAAATCGAATTTTACTTAAATTGTTATTATATTCAATTATTAAAATTGACATTCTTATATTTTTCCATGACGTTCCTACTTATTAACCACACACGGAGCTCTTACTGTTCTAGACTAGGCGGAGGCTTCCATTCACCAGCGCAGACTCAAAGTGCTCCCTTTAATTTTTTTCTAACGAAATGTAAGAGTTTAGTGGGTTTTTATTGGGGCAGTTACCCCCTACTTCCTTAGTGTCCGCCTTGTAAAGTTATATCTACTTTAGTACTGCAGAATATTCTTAATTGAAATTGAAACTTACCTAAATTGCTATTAAGTCCAATTATTAAAATTAATATTATCAGATTTTGCCATGAAGATCTTACCTAATAACTACTTTTATTAAATGCTAATAAGTATTATGCTGAACTATTAATTATATAGCACTCAAATTAAACATATACTTTAGTACTAAAGTAGAGTATTCTCAATTAATTGAAATTGAATTTTACTTAAATTGTTATTATATTCAATTATTAAAATTGACATTCTTATATTTTGCCATGACGTTCCTACTTATTAACCACTTTAATGAAATGCTAATAAACATTATGTTAAACTATTTAACCCAAATAAGTTAATTTTACAACTCAACTCGAGATGAATGGTGCAATAGATAGTTGAATAGTATGGAATATTTATATTAACAATAATGCTTGATGTACCCACTCTTATACCCACCTTATACCTACCATGTTTGTGGAGGTTTTTTTTTGTCTGTGAACCCGATTCATAGAAAATATTTTGTTTGTGCAAAATATTGTCTGTGAACCAGGGTTCACAGACAAAAAAAAACACTTTACAAACATAGGTGGGTACAAAAGTGGGTATAAGAGTGGGTACAAAGATCATTTTTGTTATATTAACTATACGTAGTAGTACAATTTGTTTTGGTCCACTAATAACATTGATGGCGAAAACATTTCAACTAACATACATATTCCTCCCTCCATCCCTCCCTCCCTCCAAGTTCCAACATACGTGACATGCTGCTTACTGTCTCGCTCTTTCAATGGTACCACCACTGCATTGCATCATCCTCGGCTAGCTTCCTTTGTTTATTTAAAATTATAAACAATGCTCATAGATACGAGTATTTGTGTTTGAAATACTTTGATTTGGGCCTGTGAGCCCACATTTTGATCGGATTTGGCCCATGATGTTATTATGTACGTTAAACTACTCGAACAAAAACTCAATTTTACCTTTTTATCATGTTTCCAACAATTACCTGTAACCTTTATTTAAATGACATCTTTTTCCTCTTTCTTTTCGGGTTTCTTTATTTTTTCCATTTTTACCTCCTTAATTCTTTGTTTTTTTATCTTGTCCCTTCTCTAGGACACACTGGTTTGGAGAATAGAAGTCTTCTCCAAAAGCAAATCTAGAAGGACAAAAGAGAATCCAGGCTCGTTCAAGTGGAAACTTCTTCTAATCAAAATTAAAAGCAAATGATCGGGTTTTGAGGACACATAAGAAGTGCAAAATATATTGGGCATATACGGACCCTCTAGTGATTAATTGCTTTGGTTTGCATTTCAGCTCCACTTTCGATTGCAGAACTGTTCTTAGATTAACTAAAGTGAAGTGATGTGCGGTAACCGATTGAGTAGTTCATTATTCATGGTTGACAAAACAGGTTCAAACTAGTTCTTATGAAACTTCAACTGCTCGCCCCCTGAACCAACGTCTCACTCTAAGAGAAAGAAACTGCTTAACTGAGTCTCTTTTTCGATGACTGGTCAAACTGATGACCCGAATAATTTATGCTCAGTTCTGTTTCCTTTGTTGCTTGCTAGTCAAACCAATTATATTTTTCTGGAACTGATGAAGATGGATCTTTTAATTATAATTTTTGTTTTCTCTTTGAAGTAGCAAGAATAGAAACAAAACTAAGAATCTAAACTACATTATTACGAAACTAACAATTTGAAATGATTCATTTCATCTTTTCATCACATTGTAGCCTAATTAGCCTTAAACTATTCATCGAGTTGTATATGTACTTAGGGGTGGTTCGGAGAAACCGAAAACCGAATCAAAAAAACCAAAACAACCGAACCGCAAGAAAACCGAAATCGAACTCAAGAAACCGAACCGAACCGTGTTTGTTTGGTTTTGGTTTTGGTTTTCACATCTCACAACCGAACCGAACCGAACCGAACCGAATAAACCGAACTTTTTAAAAATTGTTATTTTATTTATTAAACATTAAGTATAATATTTTGTTGAGTTTTTAATTCTTAATTCTAGAAAATTAAATTTATGATACTAGATTTATTATGATTTGCAAGATATTGACATTTAATATTTATGGTTTAATTAAATGAAACACTTGTACATACACTCAAGTCTATTGCTATAATCCTAATATGTTGATATTTTTTAAATCCCAATTCACATTTTGCTTGTTGTTGCATGACAATGATATTTTGTTGATATATTATATGTTATGTATGTTTGTTACTGTATAATTTTTTATATTAAACAAATATGTATTAATATAAACTATACTTTAAACAACATAGCTGTAAACATGAAACTTTGGAGCATAAATATCTTTGTCTAAAAAGACAGTATAATAAATTATTTACTAATAAAATTTTAACTTGCGAATACACTGTATATAATTCACAAATAAATTCATATTTTTAATTAATTTAGAAAATGCTTAAATTGATATACTCATACTCTCAGATTCTCTGTTTGGAAGTGCATTTGTTTTGTTCTCTTTTTTTTCAATTATGTATGTTTTTGAATTGTAGTACTATTAATAATAGTTTGATGTAGTTTATTTTTTTGTTTTTGTTTTCCAATTACTATTTTCCTAATAAACAAAAATATTTTGGTAAAAATCGAAAAAACCGAAACCGAGATAAATCGAACCGAACAAACCATGATTCCAAATTTTTGAACGTAAAACCAAACCGAACTTTTTACTTTGGTTCAGTATTTGATTTTAGGTGAAAATCGAACTGTTTGAACCGCACCATCCCATATGTAATGTCATGAGTAAATTACCCCTATATGTAGTATGTACTCTCATGAGTAAATTACCCCACATTTGGACGGAAGTAATTTTCCAAAGCCCACAAAATCCTGTCTAGGTAGGAATAGGGTAAAATGGGCAATCCAAAACTAGTAAGAGCTTTAACTTCTTCCGAGATTTGCAAGACTGGTGGAGTTTCTTGCATTCCAGTTTTCCCATACAATTCATTCCTGTCTTCCATTCATCCCCTTCCTCTTCACTTCTCTCTAGGTTTTCCCCCATCGTCTCTTTCTTTTGTTGCATTTAGACATGCATATGGGCATGTTGTTTTGTTGATTTTGAATATCATAGTTATCGGATTTCGCTTTGTAATTCTTTCAAATCATCTTCGCGATTGATTGATTTGTAGTAAAGACTCATTTGCTCATCTGGTTGTTGATTAGAGAGTTTTACGTTAAAGCTGAAGATTCAGGGGGATTGGGGAGAAAGATCGAGAAGCTTTTTTTGTTTCCAGAGACGGCTTTTGCGCAGGGGAGACGATGACGTCGACTGTACCCGCTAAGTCTCAGCCGCTTCACAACTTTGCCTTGCCGCACTTGAAATGGAAGAAGAATCACCACTCGAACAACCACCACCGCGGCCGCTCCGCCAAACACTCGGAATTCCCGTGCCGGTTTGCTTCTCCACTACGACAGTATCAGTCGCCACTACTTCAGAACTTTCAGTCTCCTAATGGTGAATCTATGGCTTCAACACTGATGCGCCAGTCGCCGATGCAAGAGCCAGATCGCCGGTCACCGATGCGCGGCGGCGATCGGACTCCAGGAAAGTTGGAGAAGAAGCAGCATAAGGGTTCGGAGATGGATGTCCCTGGACAGAAAGAAGGAAAATCAAAATTAGTGCTGAAACTGCCCCGGAAAAGCAAGAGTGATGAGATTGAGGACGTGACGAAGGGCGATGAGGGTCAAGAGGTGGGGAAATTGGCTGTAGATCAGGATGAAGGGTCGCAAAAGATTTGGAATTTGAGGCCGAGGAAGCCGATACACAAGTCACTGAATTTGAACGGAGTCCAATTCAAAGCTGGGGGACCGTCCGCTATGACAGTGGTCGCAACTCAATCTCCTTCTTCAATCAGGCCTGATGCCGAGTTGAACAGCCCTGAGAAGAAGAAAGAGAAGAAGCGGAGGTTTTCAATCGCGCTCTCCAAAGAGGAGATAGAAGAGGATATCTTTGCCCTGACCGGAATGAAACCGGCAAAGCGGCCCAAGAAGAGAACTAAATCTGTTCAGAAACAGCTTGACGTATGAATATGCCCTCGTTGCTTTTTCCATGCTTCTGTTATCATTATTATCTGCATGATCTGATCTATATTTCTTGTTTCTGTTTCTGCAGACTCTTTTTCCTGGTTTGTGGTTGGCTTCAATCACTCCTGATTCATATAAAGTCTCTGAAAATCCTCCAAAGGTATAATCTTGTGCCAGTCTATTGTTTTCACCTGTTTTGTATAATGCTTTGCCTGGTTTTTATTCCGGACATCACATTGTTCTTGCAGGGGTAGGAAAAGGAGATTGTCAGCAAAGGTTTTGATTCGAATGTTCTTCGGAGTTTACAAGACCTGACAAATTTTGGTGATCTCGTATGCTGGCTTACTCAAACTCTTATTACATGTAAAGATAAAGAAGAGGGAAAAAATTCATCATAAGAGAAGAAAAATAACATCATTTCTTTGATTTTGTTGATGGAAAGTTGCCGTTGTACATAGAGATTTTTTATCTATTAAATGAAGATTCATCTTTCAAAATTTTAAACCTGTTGAAGCAATTCTTTCCTATCCATCTCAGTTATCTACTTATCTGTTTTTGGTTTTATTGAAACAAGATCTGTTGAGGGTGTTCGTTCATACATCTCCCATTTCTCTATTTGTGGATGCTATCATGGGGAAGGATATACTGTTTCTTGCTATTAACTGATTGCTTTTTGTTTGTTATAGATTATTGGGGTTTGGTATGTTGTGTCTTGACACCTTGTATAGATTTCAATCAAAGAGTTGCTTGGGTTTGATTTCTATGGAGGGAGAAGTTATAAAGACTTTGGTCATGTTTGTTGTGTTTAGATAATCATTTGGGTGTATTTGTCTGATAGTATTTTACAGCTTCCAAAGAGGTATTATCCCAAACATCTCATTCATGTGAGTGGATTTAGTAATGGAGTTCGGAATATCAACAAGTCTAGGCTACATCTGTCAACTAATCATATGCAGGATTGTATGTTAAAAATTTCGATGTTGAGTGAGTAAATGTCCTCATCATCAATCATCATTACCCAATGCCGCAAAGACTCCCACACCTTCGGTAGGGTAAGAGGGGCGAATGTACGGAGTCTTACCCATGTACTAAAGCACGGAGAGACTGTTTCTGGATGACCCATAGTGAAATCGCGTCGAAAATTGCATGGATTGACTGATGTTTCATATCATAACATAGAATCGTAAACAGTTAAGTAAGTCATTTTGTTTTATTTCATCATATTCTCAAGCAAAAAAACAGTGAATGTATTTGGAGTGTAATTGGATAGAAAAATAAGTAATGTATTTGGATAGAAAAATGTAGCTTTAGCCTCCTTGCTCATGGAATATTGAAGTGTTGTGTGTAATGTAAATATTTGGAGTTGCCTTTGTAAGTGCACAATGATTAGTTTTTAGGTCAGTTCATGGACCCATTGAAAATGCGGTGTGAAATGAATTTTGACCACTATATAAAGAAAAAAGATTGGGGTACACACTTTTTGTACACAAAAAGTGTACACTCGTCTGTCCCCCACAGACAACTCATCTCGCGACAGACAATTTGTCTGTGGGGGACAGACGAGTGTACACTTTTTGTGTTCAAAAAGTGTGTACCCCTAGCAGGCCTCCTATATAAATGCCCAGTGCCCTTCTCTCTGAGCTCATCTTCTTCATATACCAAGGGATATGTGGTAAGTTAAAAAAGATGAGGCTGTCTTGGTGTTTGACCTATAGGAGGAATTACTGGCGGGTGGGCGCACCTCTCAGCTCCTTTGATGCAAATACTAATTGGGTGAGCAGAACTGCAGAAGTTGGGTGTATTTGATGACAGTTAACCAAATCTTGCCCAGGGGTGCAAACTATATCCATCCTTTAAAGTAAAGATTTTGCCAGATTTGAAGAAGAAATATATATTTGGTGTGATATACGATTATTATAGGTGACATTCCAATATAAATGATCAAGTTTTTGTCACTTTTAGTCCTCCGACTATTATGTCATTTGACACTTTTGGTACTAGATTTTGAGTTTTTCCACCTTCTAGTCATTCAACTATTGTGTTAAGACACTTTTAGTACTCGGTCTTTGAAAATTTCTACATTTAATCCTTCGACATTCATAAAAGTGACAATTTTGATCCTTCAACTATTATAGTAATTACATTTGTAGTCCTCCACTTATTGTGTCAAAAATATATTGGAAGGATTAAAAGTGTCAATTTGATAATATTCGGATGAGTTCCATTTTTTATTTCACAATTATGTGTGTGACTCACATATTTCCTAATTTTTATTCATTTTCAATTTTAATATCACTTTTAACCCACTTTTCATTTACTTTTTCTTCTTGAATCCTATGTAAGGTTCAATTGGGAACTTTATCGTAGGCCTAGCTTTACATTTTATATCTATCTCTCTTCCTCTTTTTTATTTTTCTCTACACATCACTTTATCTATATTAAACAAAAATATTCATCATGTCTTCTCCTATGCCAAATCTGCAAATCACTACAATTCACCCTGCAATTGGAGATGCCATATCAGGTGATACATATGGTTGCTGAATCTAGATATTTAATAAGAAGAGAGACTGATTAAGAAGAAAAACATAAAAAGAAAAATGAAATAAAAATACGGAAAGAAAAAGAAATATTATGTAAGAACAAAATGATAGTAAAAGTAATAAAAAAATATCTAGGGATGAAGGTAAAGAAAGAAAAAATTTTAGGGAGAAAAAAGAAAAAATGAAATATGGGACTATTTTGAGCATATTTGTGAAAGATAGGATTATTTATATAAGTTTTCCAAAAAAGGGTAAAAAACCTGGAATAGTAGGGTCACAAACAGGTCAGGGTCCAACGAAAAAAGATGGAGTGCAAATGTAGGATTATTCCAGAATTGCATAAAAGTGAGATTATTATGAGGAGACCAGTGAAAGGTGAGATTATTCTTGTCAATTTTTCCTTTTTTAATCATATGAGATCATTTTTTGTAAAATAAAATGAAAAGTCCAAAATTTAATTAAAACCAATAGAAGCTTTCGAACGGTGTTTTAATGTTTAGACACACAAAATCAAATAGAACTACTTTGATTATCTATTTGATTTTGGGTCAAAAACCAAGCCGGAAAAAAATGAACCCAAATCTCATACGGGATAGGGGTGGACTAGGACGGGCTGACCCGACCCGATACATGACCGGGAACCAATTCCAAGACCATGTTCACCCTGCTGCAACGGAATCTCGGATACAGTAAACTAGGATAAATAACCAGTACAAGTTGCTAATACATGTATTTCTTCCAAAGAATTAATGAAGAGATTCAAGGAAAATACTAATGCGCTAAAGTGCTAAACTAAGTCTAAAAAAGACAATACTTTATCATCATTAAACTCGACCGCCTTAAACTGTGGAATACTGAACGCATATCAATAGTTGCTAAATGCAAAATAGTTGCTCTACTTCCTCTGAAATATATAGAGCAGAAACGCTAGACGATATTTACAGTATCAGCAAGAGACCTTAGTATACAGCCCAGACCAGCTTTCTCGGTCAGCTTTTCATGAATTCTTAGGCACTGATCACAGGTGGGGCGGTCCCCTGTGGATAAGCCTCTGTAGAGATACCTACAAATGACCCAACAATACCCAACTATGAAACTCTGTATATGCAAATACTCTATGTAAAATACCGTGTTATGAAATGCTCTTATCTGTTTATGATGCAATATTCAACTTTGGCAACTAATATGCAAATTCCAAATACCGTGCTAAGTTTACAACTATTTTTCTTTATCTGCATTACATAATCAATTCTTTAGGCTTAGATATCCATTCAATGTCATCTTTAGTATTTCATATCTTATTATGGTTTATTATTGGACAAAGTGTGTCTTTGCATGGACAGCATGAGGTCCAAACGCAAACACTTCTGTTTATTAGACAACTCAAGAAGACTAAAGCTGATTGAAAATTATATGCAAGAATGCAAGAAAAGTAGACAAAGTGTGCACAAATAGCTAAGATCTGATCTTGTCACATAGAGAAATAGCTTACTAATTAGTGAAATACGAGTAACTAACAACAGCATTTGGAATGTAACTCAGTGACACAATAAAATCTGTTCAATATCATTATGATTATTATTAAGGGATAAGGGTCAGATAGGGCCTCGAACTCGAAAAAAAATGTCAAATAAGGTCATATTTCGGATGCTCTGTCTGGCCGACGTCATTTGGGGTGGTTCCCGATGGAATTTTTTGATGAAATTTTTTGAGCATCTTCCTCATTAAGTCTAGTTTACCTATACCAAATTTCAGCTAAAAACTCAACCGGGAAGGTAGTCAAATGAGTTTTTGAAGATAACTGTGAAGTTAAACAACGCCGTACATTTCGGAAAATTATTTGACTACCTTCCCGGTTGAATTTTTAGCTGAAATTTGGTATGGGTAAACTAGACTTAATGAGGAAGATGCTCAAAAAATTTCATCAAAAAATTCCATCGGGAACCGCCCCAAATGGCGTCGGCCAGACAGAGCATCCGAAATATGACCTTATTTGACATTTTTTTTTCGAGTTCGAGGCCCTATCTGACCCTTATCCCTATTATTAATATTTCATAAACATATTACTACCTTTGTCCCACTATCTTTGGGAGTTGGGATATGAGGAAGTGGCATGCATATTAAGAAAAATGTTATTATGTGGTTGGTATTGAATTTTCCAAATATGAATGAATTTAAACCACATAAGGAGTACTGTTATTAGTACTATTACTACTGTTGTTATTGCTAGTATTATTATTATTAATTAACTAGGATAGCAAATACATTAAACAACACAATATGAGCCATGGCAAGGGTCACTACGGCTTAGTGTCTTGGCTTAGGAACTCATATATTGTGCAACTAGCATAGAAATGATTTATGCCATTTGCTATACATGCAATCCAAAGATAAGTAAACCATTTGGCTTAGAAGTTTCATCATAGATTTTAAATCTAGTAAAAAGAATTGTTCAAATATATGTAAATATAATGAGAACAGCTTAAAGTAAGAAGTCTTCACGTTAAGCACTCCATGTTGGACTTTTATGTTCAAATACTACACTTCTTTGGAGATGACCAAAAAGTTCACTTCATTAGTTATTACAAAATTTGCTCTGTATTTTTCATCACTTTAGCATTGTTGGCACATTTAGAGTCATTGTATCTTAAATTCAATGCACCTGATTCATTCTCATTCAGTCATTTGTCACATTGAGTCCTCTTATCATCTGATCCACTAATCAAACGGTCAAACCCAATTGAGTAATGCAAATGCTGGCTTGCGAATACGACTTCTTGGTAAATTAGATAACTCTAGACCATGTTATTTCAATGAAACCAATCTCAAGAATAATCCTTCTAAAAATGTTGGCCAAACTCTCCTATCACTCATGGATACATTTATTTCATACTTCCCAATTGTAGGCTTACCAAAATATGCATCGTGATGTTCAGATGTTATGGGCACATACAAATATTGATTAAAGTCCTCTCTAATGTAGGTTTCAAATTGTTTTGACATTCAAATCCTTTATGTTTGATTTATCATGACATTCAAAATCTTCTCATTTCATTTTGTTTATTTCTTACTTGGTTAAATTGTGCTACAATAGCTCTTTCCTGGAGGAACTAACTTAGCAATAACACAATGTGCCACTGCTGCACTTTGAAAATGTACCAAACTGCCATGTACAAGCCTCTATAAACTGATCATTCTTATGCTGTCCTAGTTGTTCTCCCCACATTTAGAGTCGTCTTAGCCTTTTTTTTGTTCAAAAAAGGGAAAGAAAGGAAAACAGAAAGAGTTTAAAAAGATGTAATCCTTGGATCCTTGGTGCAAAGGAAGTGTGATGGGAACTTTTATTTTAGAAAAGTTTACATATAATATCGTGTATTATGTTCGATATAGTTTTTTTTGTTATTAAAAACATATTCTATATCTTAGCAGAACTAATGTACAATAATTTTAAAAACATAAATTGGAAAGGAAGTTATGAAAATTTTAATTACTACGAAATACCCAAAATTGGAGGCAAATGTGAGGAGTTTGGAGGAGTCCTACAATAAAAGAGTTAAGCTCCTCTACTTTCCTCACCTTCTCCCGAAAGTCTTACAACCGAACACAGGGGAAGTGCCAAGCTATATATCACTTTCCTAGATCACTAGATCAGGTGTGTAACAGCAATGTTGTGTGCACACTTCAAGAATGTCATTGGGCAGATAACATAGCACACATAAAAGAATAGAAATAAAAGGAATACTTACTTCATAAGAATATCATAGTACTCAGGATCTAGAGAAGAGAACAAGCTATCCAAATCCTTTATAGCCATTATTGCCCTATGGACTACAATCCAATTTGCAGACTACAAATATGATCCTCTCAAAATTAGTGAAAATATAATGGAAGATATACAAACTCAATACATATCAGTTTTTTGTTGAATTCTCAGAAGACAGGGACAAAAAAGTAATAAAAGATTCAACCTTGCATCTTTCATCTTTAGTCATGGGAGGTGAGCCTTCAAGAGCAGTTTTCAAAGCTTCCACGGGTTTATACCTAACAAAAATACAGATGTTTTAGATAATCAGAGCCTTTTCCTTTGTGTATGCAAATGAGGAAAAAAAAGGAAAAGGGTCGAAAAATCTAAAGTTACTGTTTGAGTAAGCTTTCAATCTTCCGAGACTTATGCTCAATTCTTGTGATTATAGCTTCTGAATTGTCAGCCCCAACGAATTCCGCCATTCACATGCACCCCAGCTCTCTTTCTCCCTCACTCTAACTTTCTCACTATCTGCAATATGTGGTATAATATACTCGGATTCAGTGCTCTACTTGTATAATCGTACTTCTAACCTAATATGCATTAAAAAAAAATGGAGTAAAACATAAAATCTTATTCTTCAAAAATAGGAGTTTTTTTTAATAACAAAATCAAATATAAATACCACGTCACAATAACTCTACAATTTTCAGTTGATAGGGCTTGATAATGACATCATTTTGAATAGTAAAAGGATATCTTCTACTCGGTTCTTAATTAAGAAAATAAATTTATTGAGGAGTAAATTTGACTGTAGAGTAGATTGTTTTGATACTGTTTGACACTGTTTGGCATTGTTTTGACACTGCTTTAGTGTGGATTTGTTTGATAAATAAGGAGGTAGAAACTTGTTTGAGACATTCAAACGAAAGTAGGAACTTAATTAAAAACCGGAGAGAGTATTTTTTTAAAGTAGTAAAAGGATATCTTCTTGTAAAAAAAAAGTTCAGATTCACATTATGTGTGGTTGATTCTTTTAAGCAACAAAGTTTAACAAATATCACAAATAAATTCAAAGAGTTTTTACAAAGATCTTAACAAATATTCTTTGTTTATAAAATTGTATCCCATGAATAAATCTAAAATAGCCCACGAATATTATAGGGAGTAAAATTGTTAAAGTTTATACCCCATGAATTGATGAATATCACAAATATTATGTGCAATGCGCAGCTGATTCATCATTGCTGTATTAACTATACTAAGTCCATGACTTTTAAAAAAATTAACAATAATAAAAGCTTGATTTTACTTTTAAACATAACTACTACGTAGTACGTTTTTTTATAGTAAAACAGGCGGCTTTATATTAAAATCAAGAACGCATACAAGACAATCTTCCGACAAATTTTACAGATCCAATCGTAAAGTCTAGGAGTAGACATAGAATCAGTCACCTCATACAAAACAATCTGACTCGCTAAACCTAAAACGGGCAAATTTAAGCCTATAACAAACATATCTGAAACTCTGCCTATCAAAGGAGCTCCAAAAATCTAAACATTCAAACCAAATCTACTTGGACGAAAACAAAAACAAATACTACTAAAGAGAAAATAATATTGAAATAAAATCTTTTCATTAAACTATTCCTCGTATGGAGGTGGTTCTGGAGGAGGACAAATTCTTGATATATGGGTGAATACCAACTCCACCACCGCCGGAGCGGCCGACCAAGGTTTCACGATCTAGCACCGATACAAACTCTCAGCTGCAATCCGTTCATCCTCCAACGTTAATTATCTCCCTCGATGTAGTTGCAATCCCAAACGTTAGAACACTTAAAATCAGAATAATCTGTCGCTCCAATCCCATATTAATATGGGCGGCGAAAAATCTCAACCCCTACAAAGAGGAGAAACGACCGCTAGATTTTTAGAGAGAAGCTAGAGCTATCCTTCAAACTCCATCAAGATTTGTGAATGGATTATGGCTTCAAAGCATGGCCGCAAATTAACTGATAAAAGGGGACCATCTAATACAACGCTTCTTCAGAACTAGTTGCGCGATGACCGGTCGCGTATGTTTGAAAGCCTAGGGAGTAGGGGCGGATAACTTTAAATGACCTAATCTTTAAGAAAATCCTTTTCTATCTAAACTAACATGTACAATTATAATATTTCAAGACCTTTATGATACAGAAAACACTTAAATTAGTTCAATTAAACATAGTTGAATCACCACCCACGATCTATCTTTACTTTCCTTATTTTTATGTATTTTATAAAACATTTATAGACTGGAGGATGATTTGCATGTTGTTTGGGCATATAAGAAAAGAATTATATATTTAAACTGAATTCCTAAATTTTAGATTGAAATGTTAATATGCACTACAGTAATTAATAGTATTTCATTATGATGTATATATATTATTCATTTTTTAGAAATAATTAAATTGTATATATTTTAAAATGGATTATCAACCTATTGCTAGGAAATTAGGGGTTCAGACACAACTTCAATGATGATGATTATTTAAAGGAATTTTATCAATCCGAGATCCGAAAGATACACGAATTATCAATCCGGGACTTGTAAGATGAAATGTATCGGTTTAGGACTCGAATGATGAAAAACTATCAATCTAAGACCTAACATTTCATAGGTTTTGATTTATTTAAATTTTTATTAATTCCATTGCTAATATTTGATGATTTTTTCTTCACAAAAGTTTATTAGTTTAATAAAATTAAATAATTTTGATTTTTTTAAATAAAAAATTAATAAAGTTTATGAAAAGTTAGGTCTTATATAGACATTTTTCAATCATTCAGGTTCTATATTGATAGTTTTCCATCATTCAGGTACTATATCGATACATTTCATCTTTTAGGTCCGGAATTGATAATTGGTGTATGTTTCCGGTCTTGATTTGATAAAATTCCATATTTAAATTATTGTTATATACGGAGTAATATATACTTCGTATATACGAATATACTATGTGAAGTATGACAGTGTGTAATTCTATTTCATCATTCATAGTCCACTCCATCGTAACTTTTTGGATCTATTCAGGGGTTGGCTTCAGCCCAGTCCAATTCTTTTTATTAGTTAGGTATATGTTTAATTAGCAGCCCACCCAAAATTAATACCTAACCAATCCTAGCTCAGCCCACCTCAAGCCCATCCCACCACGGCACCACCCCTTTGCGAGCTGCCTGCAATTTGCGATGAAATGGAAGCAGTGAAGAAAGAGGTCCAAGAGACGAATTTGTGAGCTGCGACGAAGACACGAACACCCGGCACCAGCCGACCTGCGTCGTCCGTCATCCCTCTCCGGCTCTACTCTCCGAATCCGCGCCTGTGACCTGCGGTTCTGCCTCCAGCTCCAGGTGAGAAGGTATTATTAAATATTACTCTTTTAGACTTTTAATTTATTATTTTGTGACTGTGTGTATTACTCCGTATTATTTTTAGTTATGTAAATATGTTTAATTATTATTTAATTTTTTCAGTACGTAATTAAATACTTCATAGTTTTTATTCATTTCACATTTATAATGATTTAAGTTAGAATTAGAGATTAGAGAATGATTTATTTATTATACAATTGAAGATTAGAGATTTATTTATTTATTTATTTATTTATTTATTTATTTATTTATTTATTTATTTATTTATTTATTTATTTATTTATTTATTTATTTATTTATTTATTTATTTATTTATTTATTTATTTATTTATTTATTTATTTATTTATTTATTTATTTATTTATTTATTTATTTATTTATTTATTTATTTATTTATTTATTTATTTATTTATTGTGTGGACATCTAAGAAAGAATTAAAATTTTCAATTGAATTTTGAAATTGGGAATACTTATTAGTTTTATGTAATGATTGTTTTATTCATATTAGTTCTATAATTTTAAAGAAGTATTCATACCAATATTGAAGCTGTTTTGTAGAAGTTTTTATACAAGGATTTACATGTTTTTCACTTTTTCGTGTACATAATGACATAATATAACATTTTTTTTATTAGTTGTACATCCACAAAATTTTCTTGTAGAGGTATTTATACAACGATTGTTTTTTCTTGTTAGTTTTATAATTTCATAGAAGTTTTATACGGAGTAATTTACGTATTTAATGAATATTTAAAGTGTTGATGACTTGACGTATTATTTAGTATTTTCTTCAAGTTTTATTTCTCAGTCCACCCCATTGTTACTTTCTGGATCCGCCCCTGGTTCCATTGTAAATAAGAGGGTGTTTGGATCTGATTTTAGAAGCTGATTCTACTGCACCAAGGAGCACTTTGAAGCAGAATTACTTTGGAAGGTGTTTGGATCTGATTAAAAAACTTCTGTTAAAATAGGCGTAGAATCAGTTTGGTAGAAGCTGGGTACTACCAGCTTCTGAAAATCAGCTTCTGATTCTACCAAATTCTATTCCTAAAATATCCTTCGTAACTCTCGCTAAGCCCAAATCAGCGACAAACCCTTTAGGCATTGTCTACCCTCCAGAGCTTCTCTTCTCCATCGTCTCTGTGGCTCTGTGCGACATACCCGGCCGGCGCTTGGGGTTCTCCTGCGAGAGCTTCTCCGACAATTGTCTCCAGGCGACGCAACCCTTTGGGTCGGGGCTTGGCTTCTCCAGCGACGGTTTCTCCAACCTTCATCTCTCGGCTTCAATTTCAAGGTATACTCTCAACTTGTGAGTTCGTTGATTTTCTCAAGTCCAATACAATTATACAAAGACCTTAACTGATTTAGTAATAATTTCAAGGTATACTCTCAATTCGAATTATTGTGTTGGTCTTTCATCTTTTTTTTTTTGCAAATAATTTCTTTGGTTTAGTAATAACTAATAAGCATATGATTTTCACTTAAGCCTATCAAAACTGGGAATGACATTCAATTCCATAAGGGTATGGAATTTTCAAAGCAGCAATAGTGTCCTTTTGGTAAATTTACACAAAAATCAGTTTGCAAAAGTAGCTTATCCAAACACTCAAAACTGATTCTCTATTACATAGAGCAGAATCAATATCAAACACTTCAGACAGAATCACTTTTTCATACAGCAGAAAATTCTAATTCTGATTCTCACTTAAAAATAGAAGCAGAAGCAGAATCAGTTCCAAACACCCCCTAAATAAGTATATACGTATAAAAGTATAGTAGTTTAGATCTGAAATTGTTATCTTCAAAAGTTGTGCTATAAATACTTAGATTCAATAGATATGTATATATAATAAGAAGAATAAGAACAAAGATATTTATTATACTGTGTGGTTTATAAAAGTTGTGCTATCTATTATACTTATTAGTTCTCCATTGAAATGGTTTTCTTGTTTAGATTGCATTAATATTCTAATATTGAATACACTCCGTATATTGCTTTAAAATTGTAACAACTCAGTGTTGTATCGTGAACATTTATACTTTTATAACTCGTAAAGTTTCATTTATTTATGCAATGTCTCAATTAAAATTTAAAATCTTTCGCTCTTTAGACTCAGATCCAAATTCGAACCATATTGATCTGAATGGTTTCAAGTTTGGTTACCCGTGGGTCTTGAAAATGGATCTAAACCTTTTTTTAAAGATGCATATCTCAATTTCTTACCTTCATCCCAGAATGCCGGATCAGTATTTGGCTTAAAAACATCTGTATTAAATAAATGTATCCAAATCAGTAAATCCACACAGTAGCTCCTCCGCTTATCTTACCCCCCCTGCTTTGGCACTCAGAGGGAAGGTGAATATAAGAGCTCCTTGATATACGCCGTTCGATGTCAGATTCATCTGCATAACCACTTAAACCTTGATTCTAGCTCAAAAAAGTAATTACTAGCACTCACTTTTTTTGCACCAATAACCTCTTGCCCACCCTTTTTTCCGTTTCTAATTTCGGGGTTATAATAAAAACCGAAGTGGATTTTTTCCATCATTTGCAATGGAGCCAAAGATTCATTATTTTTTGGCTTGAGAATATGATGGAATAAAGCAAAATGGCTCACTAAATTGTCTGCGCTTCTTTGTTATGAAGCAGCAGTCAGTCCATGCAATTTTGGACACGATTTTCACTATGGGTCATCCGGAAACAGCCTCTCTGTGCTTTAGTACATGGGTAAGACTGCGTACATCCGACCCCCCTTTACCCCACCGTAGGTGGGAGCCTTTGCGGCACTGGGGTAAATGGAAATGAAAATGATTGCACGATTTCATTCCCCATGTATTTTCTGGCTAAAAATACGTAGTATAACATTTTTTATTCTATTCTAGATTTTGTATTTTTCGAAACTTTTGAAGTTATTCATATAAGTGATGTGTGTATCGTTTGGACTTCTTTAGAGTAATTGTTTTGAAGTGTTTTTGCTTTTTGTGTTGTTTAGTAAGACTTTTAAATTGTAAGGGTTCCTCAATTGTGCTCATTTGGCAACACATTGCTACTATTTGTTGGGGAGTTTACTATGTGTTTGTGCCTTTGCATTTATGGTGATCTGATATCATAGCTTAGCGCATGGCTCAAAAAGTAGATGCCTGATATCACACAGAATAGGCCTTTTTGTTTTACATTATTATTCACATTTTCAGTGGAGTTTTTTCTCCACCATAAAGTGTATTTTCCCCACAGAGCTCATTAGGTGGGAACACTAATGGAAAATGTCTTCTGCTTTTATATACTAATGGATACATCTCTACAAGCACTCATGTAAAAAATTCAAGTCAGGTGAACTTTGCATTTTTTAATGGATACAAGTTTTCATTTCCATTATTTTGGCATTTCATAGATTGCCGAAATGCGGAGGTATTCTGTCCTACCTTTGTTAGCAAAACAAAGGTAGGACAGAATACAACAATGATGAATCAGCTGCGCATTGCACATAATATTTGTGATATTCATCAATTCATGGGGTATAAACTTTAACAATTTTACTCCCTATAATATTCGTGGGCTATTTTAGATTTATTCATGGGATACAATTTTATAAACAAAGAATATTTGTTAAGATCTTTGTAAAAACTCTTTGAATTTATTTGTGATATTTGTTAAACTTTGTTGCTTAAAAGAATCAACCACACATAATGTGAATCTGAACTTTTTTTTTTACCAGAAGATATCCTTTTACTACTATAAAAAAAAACTCTCTCCGGTTTTTAATTAAGTTCCTACTTTCGTTTGAATGTCTCAAACAAGGTTCTACTTCCTTATTTATCAAACAAATCCACACTAAAGCAGTGTCAAAACAATGCCAAACAGTGTCAAACAGTATCAAAACAGTCTACTCTACAGTCAAATTTACTCCTCAATAAATTTATTTTCTTAATTAAGAACCGAGTAGAAGATATCCTCAATTGTGCTCATTTGGCAACACATTGCTACTATTTGTTGGGGAGTTTACTGTGTTTGTGCCTTTGCATTTATGGTGATCTGATATCATAGCTTAGCGCATGGCTCAAAAAGTAGATGCCTGATATCACACAGAATAGGCCTTTTTGTTTTACATTATTATTCACATTTTCAGTGGAGTTTTTTCTCCACCATAAAGTGTATTTTCCCCGCAGAGCTCATTAGGTGGGAACACTAATGGAAAATGTCTTCTGCTTTTATATACTAATGGATACATCTCTACAAGCACTCATGTAAAAAATTCAAGTCAGGTGAACTTTGCATTTTTTAATGGATACAAGTTTTCATTTCCATTATTTTGGCATTTCATAGATTGCCGAAATGCGGAGGTATTCTGTCCTACCTTTGTTAGCAAAACGGCCATTCAGTACATCTTCTGGTGGTGATAAAGTTGTAGCATCTGTCCTCTTTGAGAGGCTTCCAGTTGTGGTTCCCAAGATCGATCCCATTGTTTACGCTTTTCAAGAGTTTTCGTGAGATTCTTTCACACCATCATTTCCATTCTTAATTCACTATATGAGAATGAATGTTTGAATATTATATATTCAATTACTCTGTATTCCTGATTCCCTCCATCCCTTGGAACTTCATCATCGCTGGTTTTCTTGGTCAATGATGTTAAACTTTGATCAATGGTATAGTTGTATACAAAATTATTTATAATATGAAAATGATCTTTGTTAAAACTTAAATGTACTCTCTCAAAAGTACAAAACTTTTACTTCAAAAAAATCAGAATCATAGGCCAGATTTTACCACCAATGACCAAGAAAGTTAAAGTTGGCAGCGACTTAAAGGATGGAGAGAGTATTATTTTTTATAAACTGTAGTGAAAAAAGAACTTGGTGGAATAAAATTCTAGGCATTCTTATGTCTTTAATCTCTTATTCTTCCTTGATAAAGATAACACGGAAGAATGCTTTACTGGGCATGCTTAGGGGATAAGTGGGTATGATTTTTTAGGTAATCCTTGTCTAATTGCATTTTAGGTTCCGATGGAGGCAACAATATAGAAGAGAGTATCCTGAGAAATTATTGAAAAGGGCCGAGTCCAGGTACTTTTGTTTCATTAGATGAAGTTGTTTTTCATCTACTCTATGGATTATATTTGTGTTACTGTGCCTAGTGGTCTTATGGATGCATTGTTGCTAGGAGTTTCAGGCTTTAAGAACTAGTGAAAATAAATTCTCTTGCTATTATTGACATTCCTTTCTTTTTAATGCATCAGTCATATTTATTTCACCATTTTATTTCCTTTTTTAGTATTACTCCCTCTTGTTCAAATGAATGTCATTTTAGAAGATTTGACACAGATTAAGGAGTTATTAAATGGATTATCATTGGGATTACAATACTGCAGCTTACATTTAGTTATCCTTGAAGGCTTGAATTGAAATTTTGCATAGAAGCTTAAAAATGAAAAAATATGTACTCCCTCTGTCCCATTAGAAGGTTCCCACTTTCATTTTTTGGACGTCCCATATAAAGGTTCCCATTTCCATTTTAGGAAACAATTAACAATCCTAAGTGACAAATTAATCATGAAATATTAAAAATAATACATTTATAACATCACAGTTATCAATACTAACTACATTATAATGTATACATATTAAAAAAATTTCTCAAAATATGCTCAAAGTACTTTATTTAATTATTGTCTAAATAAACGTGTCGTTTTGCTATGGGAACCTTCCAACGGGACAAAGGTAGTAGTATTTAGAACAGTCTTGGTTTTTTATAAAATAATGCATATTGTGTGCGACTAAAGTTTTTCCTCCAAAACAACATTTATTGTTAACAGGAGGAATTATATATGTTCTAGTGTGCTGCTAAGTGTTGGATGTTTTTTTTCGCAAATTGAATTTCCATTAAACTGTATGAAGAATATGAATGATTGGATTAATGCTTTGTCCCAGAGGAAAAGGCGAATACCATATTGACTATACACCAGCTCCTCGGATCACTGAGGCTGATAAAAGTAATGACAAAAAGTAAGTATTCTGGTAGGGCTTAGGGATAAGGTGCATTTTATTTTAGTTGAAAAAACTATGTGGTTTCTTGAATCTGATTTTTTAGCTTATTACTATCTTCAGCAGATTATATTATTCTTTCAGTTGTTTTCAACCTATTGTACCCTAAGGCATTTTTTTGCTGCATCCAAACCAAAGTACCCTTTGGTAATGTTGTTGTTTGTTAAATCAAAGTTAATATTTCAAAACCAATAAACAGTATACTATAACCAAAGGAAAATACATTTTGATTGTGATCATTGATCAATCAATAGAAAAGAGAATCTAATTTTTCAGCTCTCCCGCACTCTTACTATTCTATCTAAAATAGCTCAGCTGCTGAATAATTTGTTGAAAGCCTAAAGGGATAATTTCGATGTGAGCAATGTGAACAGTAATTTTCAGTATTACTCCCTCCATCCCGCTAAGATTGTCTCATCTTTCCTTTTTGGTCCGTTCCACTAAGATTGTCCCATACTAAATTTGGTAAAATTTGTGTGGTTCCAAATCATTCTTACTTTATTCTTACTTTATCAATTCAATATCAACCACATAAACCTATTTTTCTTAATAACCGTACCAACTCCTCATGTCTCAATGTTAGTGGGACGGAGGTAGTATGAATTTGTTGTATTTATGTACTGTAGCATATTTGTATTTCCTTATAGTTGATCAACGATATACTTTAGGTCGTTGAACAGAGCACTTGACAGAAGGCTCTATCTTCTCCTGCACGGGAAGACACTTTCTAGTGGGAAGCCTGTTTGGCATTTCCCAGAAAAAGCATATGAATCAGAAGAGACTCTCCGCAGGGTATTAATTATTAATTATTACTTCAATAATGCATTTAATACTCAATCTAGACATGGAATTCTACAATAGGAAAACATATGAAATATTTTGTGGTATGTTTCCAGTGTGCGGAGTCAGCATTAAAATCTGTGATTGGAGACCTCTCTCACACTTATTTTGTCGGCAATGCTCCAATGGGACATATGGTTACACAGCTTGGTGAGAATGATAATGAGCCAGTACAACCATGTCTAAAGGTTAGTGAACCTAATTGCTCGCAATATAGTGGTGGAATTATTTGTTCCAAAACAGCCCCAGCACTATTGTGAGTTTGAAGGAGTAACAAATGTTAATGGAAATATGGAATGTTCAGTGCTCTTAGTTCACCGAACTTGTTTTTTTCTGCACTACTGTAATATTTTCTGTAGCACTTCTTTGCCATAAAGTCATCCCAAGTTTTCTTATTTTTTCCTATTCACACTGGCAGCGCTACTTCTTCAAATCGCAAGTGATCGCGGCTAACAAGTTTGATGTTCACAAGTGTGATGATTATGTGTGGGTGACAAAGGATGAGTTGCTAGAGTACTTTCCAGAACAAGCGCAGTTTCTGAACAAGATGATCATCAGCTGATGTTTTGATTACCTATAAAATTTGAGTGGCGGAAGAGAACAGTTATGATTGTGCCTTAATATTGGTGGCTTTTATGGACGTTGCTGAACATGGATTAGCCGTAACAACCATCTTGGCTTTCTATTGATCCTTGACAAGGTGGATTTGTTTTCAGTTATTGGGTAGTGGTCAATTTAATGGTACCCTGACCAAATCAAACAAACTGAGCAAGTCCTCACTCAGAAAGTAAGGCTTTTGGGAGGTTGATTTTTATGTTACTCAAATCGATTTTGAAGGCTATTTGGATAGCGATTGTTTACCTCATTTCATTTTTTTCCTCTTTAGCAGCAGCTATAAGCCTATAAAGGTGTCATAAATGCAATTCGTGATGGATTAATTATAGAATATTTTGTTAATCGTTTTTGTGGATTTTGGTGTTCCAAACCAGCTTTTGACAAGGGGTTGGTCCGAGCTGGTACCAGTTTGTTTCCGGGCTTGTAGACTATCTTCCAAAAAAGTATTCGTTTTCTGTTTGTATTTTGGAAGAATTGTAACCACATTGGACTGATTCTGGTCCGGACAAAAAAACGGACACATGTATTTTACCCGCCCAGTTTTGCTTTGGTTCTGGAACTAGGGATGGACCGGTCCTGGGTCGGGACCGGGTCCGGGTCGGGCTAAGGGCGGGACTGGGTTTAAGAAATGGTGGCCCGGTACCGGCCTGGCTATGTTCCGGGACCGGGCCGGTCCTGGGTCGGGTACTATATTTTTTGGTTTTATTTTTGCTTACTAATTCTAACCCCCCACCCCCAAACACCCCCAAACCACCCAAGTACCCAACTCAACCCGCCTCTTACCCAAACCATTCGAAAAATCCAAAAAAAAAAAAAAAATTGGGCCCGGACTGGTCCTGGACCAGCCAGGCTGGTTCCAAGAGGGCTGCAGCCCGAGCCCGCCCCCATAACACCCCCGGGTTGGGTCCTAGGCCTGGTACCGGTCAACCGGGCCGGTCTGGTACCACATAGTGGCGGTCCGGGCTGGTCTGATCGGTCCCGGTCCACCCCTAACTGGAACTAGGTATGATCCTAGTTTTTTATCAAACCTATAATTTGTTTAGGTTGCGTAGGACACAAGAGTTTTTTCTAACTTCAAATACAATTCCAATCGACAATTGGACATGGATAATGCTTCGTTATGTGACATTGATAGATGGAAGCCTTATTTGCTTCCTTGGTGGAGTCTCGAGCCAAATTAGAACACATTGGTCCCTCGTTATTTGCCTTAATGGGAAAAGCAAAATGGCAATGACAACACTTTGAATCAATGCCACAAGTTTAGAACTGAATAAGCAAAGTATCAAACCATGATTTCATGTGTTTTCTATTTGCTTTAAAAAATTGTGCACTTCTTTTTTGCGTTTCTTCAAATAAACCTTACCATTTGAACATGCATCTCTCAAAGAGTCAAAGTGACCAACGAAATGTGATTCATCCAAAAAGGTGTGAATTAGAAAGTTCAGGAATAAATTCCACTTTTGGTCCTACGGGTTTTATTTTTGCTTAATAATTCTAATCCCCCACTCCCAAACACCCCCAAACCACCCAAGTACCCAACTCAACCCGCCTCTTACCCAAACCATTCGAAAATCCAAAAAAAAAAAATTGGGCCCGGACTGGTCCTGGACCGGCCAGGCCGGTTCCAAGAGGGCTGCAGCCCGAGCCCGCCCCCAAAACTCCCCCGGATTGGGTCCTAGGCCTGGTACCGGTCAACCGGGCCAGTCTGGTACCACATAGTGGCGGTCCGGGCTGATCTGACCGGTCCCGGTCCACCCCTAACTGGAACTAGGTATGATCCTAGTTTTTTTATCAAACCTATAATTTGTTTAGGTTGCGTAGGACACAGGAGTTTTTACTAACTTCAAATACAATTCCAATCGACAATTGGACATAGATAATGCTTCGTTATGAGACATTGATACTCAGATGGAAGCCTTATTTGCTTCCTTGGTGGAGTCTCGAGCCAAATTAGAACACATTGGTCCCTCGTTATTTGCCTTAATGGGAAAGCAAAATGGCAATGACAACACTTTGAATCAATGCCACAAGTTTAGAACTGAATAAGCAAAGTATCAAACCATGATTTCATGTGTTTTCTATTTGCTTTAAAAAATTGTGCACTTCTTTTTTGCGTTTCTTCAAATAAACCTTACCATTTGAACATGCATCTCTCAAAGTGACCGACGAAAGTTCAGGATTAAATTTCACTTTTGTTCCTACGGGTATCGCACCGATTTCACAATTACTATTTGTCTTAGACTTTACCCTTTTTAGTGCACGACTATTGTGTTTTCGCCAATACATGATGCTTCCGGCAATAATTCTGGTGGTTAAGATATCTGGAGAAAGGTAACAAATAGTCAAAAAATATTAGTCAAGTACCAAAAATGAACAAAGTGAAAGAGATGGACTAAATGTGGAAATGACATCAAACTCATAGAACCAAAAGTGGAATATTATACGGTCCGAATGTGCTTTCTTCATTGCACTAGTTGGTTCACTTTCTAAATATGTGCAGGAGATATTACCAAACTGAAGATGTCAATACAATAGCATTAGCATATTATGTGCAGGAGATATTATTAATGTAAAAGGGTTTTTGAAGATGAATAAATAATTCTTAGTCCATGTTTGATAGACATAAGTTTATACTTTAAAACTTTTGTACTAGTTGAAAAGACCCTATAACTTCTAGTTGTATGTTTGAGATGTGAATAATTAAGATCTTTTTTTACAAATTAAAAGATTTTTTTGAGATGCTGCACCGAGTAGATTCTGAAAAAAGTGTACATCTTCTAACATTATTAGTCAAACAACTTGTTATATCTAATAGAAATCAGATTAAATCAGATAGTCAAATTGTTATTAAACAACTACATATAACTTTTTACTTTTAAAATCTTTTTGGTTAGTAAAAGTTCACGATTACTAAAAGGCTCATAAAAATAATTTTTTTAACCGTTTGTTTCAAATATATCCTTACATTACTAAAAATGTGACAAATGTTGAAAAGGCTAGTGTCAAATCCCTATTTACTAAACAACCTTTTTACTTGTTAAAAACATTAAAAGTGATCAAATCATAGTTTTTTGGGTGAAACATCATTACCAAACACTGCCATGAAGTGCGTGGGGGGAATTAGGTTTGAAGGACAAGTGCGTGTGGCTGAATTGAAATTTGACGCTCCTAAAGGGCCTAAACGCGTAATCCATCCATACCGGCATAAGTGCATAGCCATAACTAGGCCGTGTTTCACCATTACTCCCCTCCGTGTTTTGGAGTACACAATAAATTAAATGCTTTCAAAGTGAGTAAGTGACTTGAACTGTTTTCAAATTTAAACTAGGTAGTACTCCATACTTCCGTAGGTTATACTCCGTATTTCACTTGATAAATAAACTAATACTAGGTAATACTTATTTTACACCAATGTCAAGTTTATACATATATTTTTGATCAGTTCGTATACCGTGGTATCACCACACGGTGAGCACCGTGCCCCCACACCCAAAACGACGTAATTTCGCATAATTATTTTAAAAAAAAATCGTGTGAACAGTACAACATGTACAGTAACTGTTTTTTTTATTTTCATCTGAGTAGAATGAATGATGTAACTTGTGCAAAATTAGATGTAACTCGCATTGTTACAAATGTAATTCCAGTTAACAACAAATGTAACTTGTGCCCTGAAATGTAACTCATGTAACAAATGTAACTAATTGCTTGATTACTTTTCCTAAATAATGAATATGTTTTAATTTTAATATTAAGACCATAAAATGTTTTAGAGAAATCATTTTTTCGCAAAAAATATTGATCCCAAAAAAGTTTTTTTTTTGTTTTCATAAAAGGGGTTTATTTTGTGATGTAACTCATGTAATGACAAATGTAACTTATGTTAATATGAAATGCAACTTATTTGAAACATGTCCAAATGTAACTCACTCATTAGAAGATGTAACTCGCGCACATTAAAATGTAAATAGAGTATAAAAAGATGTAATTCCGTGTATTAAACACACACACATGTATATACCTATATATACCAATTAACTCCATCATTAACATTAAGAGAACCAACAAAATTATATTAATTGAATTTGATTAATACGCAGCTTAGATGGTAAATCAAAGCAAAAAGGTTATGCGTGAGGGGTTGAAACTTGAAAGAGCAGAGATTGAAGAGCCATTGTTCTTTAAAAACCAGATTTTGTCCACTAAAAACTGATCATTCCTTAGCTTGTTCATGATCGCAAGTGATGAAACCAGACCACTTGTTCATAATCATGAGCCAAAGGCGATGATGGCCTGGTAAGTATTTTAGCTCTTAAAGTTCTGTCATTACAGAGCGATAATCTGTTTGGATGTAAGACAAATTTCAGCCCACTTTATGATTCTATGGAGTCGGTGATTGACAAACCAGAGTTGCAAGGCCAGATTTTTAAGAAAAGAGCGGAAGATCCATCGTTCTGTATTTATTTCAAGAAAAGCGATGTTGTTTTGGGATCAGCTCACGGTGGGCCGATCCCACAATATAATTTGCGATTTTTGATAAGACAAGGAGCCTGATAAGTCGATGATGCATGCATGTTTTGGTGACAGAATGGTAAATAGATACTCCTGTCTAAAAATTAACTTACTCCTTTTTTATGTGGGATATCTCAATATGACAATATTAACTACCTATTTTATTATATTCCTATTTTTGAAAACACCCATTTGCCCCTACTTTTGCTATTCATTTTCCACCTTTAGTGTATTTGGACCATTGCATCTCTTATCATGCCAGGGTAATTTTGGAAAGTTAGCTTTTACTTTTTTCTAATTAACTAAAATTCGTGAAATCAATCCCGAGAGAGTTAATTTCAGCATGGATGTAGACATATAGTAATTCAGAAAATATAGTGAGCAAGCGACATGACGAGTAGTGTGTGGATCCTCGGATTCTCGTATTGAGAGTCCGTTTGGTAGCACAAAAATCGGCTGATTTGGTTGATTCTGCTTAGATTTGTGAAGTTTTGGTTGAAGTGACTGCATTGGCTGATTCTGCTGATTTAAGAAAAAATTATTTTTAAAATATATTTTATCAATAAAATAAAGAAAAAATTATATGTAAGAATAGCTAAAATTATCATCTACAATAACTTCAGCCAATACAGCCAGAAAAGTAACTCCAACCTTACGTTTTCTGCTTATTACACAACGCAGCGCGCGAAAGCAAAAGTTACGGGTTTGGCGAAAACGTTGGTTGATAAGCCTGATAAGTCGAAAAACATTGTTGTCAAACGAAGAAAATTACCTTATTTATGACACCAACTTGTACACTACTATACTATGAAGTAAAAGATACGTAGTACATGTTTATGATGTTTTTAGTGGCTGTTTTAGTTCAAGATTATATTAGACATAAAAAACGCTTTTACTAAACCAAACTAGAGATTCGACTAGGGCTGAGCAAAACTCGATCTGACCTGAAAAACCCGATATTTTTTCCGGATATTATCCGAACCGAAGTGGATATCCGACCCGAAAATCCCGAACCCGAAAATCCGATTAGTATT